GTTTTTGAGAAGCAAGATGTTGACATGATTTATATTCAAGTTATTAAAGATATGTATGTCAGAGTTGTTATTTGTGTTCGAACAGGAAGATTAACCAAATATTTTCCTATTTCTGTTGTATTACATTAGGGATCGACATTAAGCCCAAACGTTTTTGCTTTAGTTATGGATGGCTTTACTGGACATTTATAGGAGAATGTACCATGGTGTATGTTTTTTGCTGATAATATCCTTCTCGTGGATAAGACGAGAGCTAAAGCTTAGGAAAAACTTAAATTATGGAGGTCAACATTGAAATCTAAAGGCCTTCGTTTAGTACTAGCCCTAAACCCTAAACCTGAAACTTTTGAAAATCATGTATTGATAGACGAATGGAACCATCAATTCTCTGTCCCATCAATTACAAACGTATTCTGGAAAAACAGAATGTAATTTTAGTAGTAGTAGATATAGTGACAGAAATATAACTATGGGTGATCAAACTGTGAGTGCTTTAGATATCTCGGGTGTATTGTTCAAAGTGATGATGATATAGATAAGGATGTTATTAGTAGAATTCAATTTGGTTGGTTGAAGTGGGGGAATGTTTCGGGTCTATTGTGTGATAGAAAAGTATCGCTTAGGCTGAAAGGGAAATTTTATAAGATGGTGGTGAGACCTACAATGCTATATGGCGTTGAATTTTGGCCTTTAAAAGAGAAGCATACAACTAAGTTTAAGTGTCGAGAATGATTAGGTGGATGAGTGGCTTTACACTTGGAGACAAAATGCGAAATGAATATATCCGTGATATGGTTGGTGTAGTTCCAATGATAAACAAAATTTGAGAGAGTCGCCTTAGATTATTTGGTCACATTAAACGTCGACCGTCTGATGATTTGATTAGGAGAATAAATGTTTTAGATTCGACTTATGTTAAGAAAGACATAAAGAAAGACATTTTAGATTCGACTTGTTAAGAAAGGCAGATGTAGACCTAGGAAGACTTGGGCTTATTGTATTATTAGAATTAAATGAAAATATAACACTAAATAAGATGCAATGAAGAAAAATGATTCATGCAGCTATTATTATTGTTGTTGTTGTTTTTGTTGTTGTTGTTGAAGGTTTTGTTGTTGTTGTTGTTGTTATTTTTATATAAATCATTTGTAAGAAATCTAACTTGTAATATAATATCATTAAAGATGAAATGAAATTTATAACACATGATAAGACCTTACATCTTGTTAAATAGTCTAACGAAACAAAAGCCGTAGCATATAAATGCGTCAATAAGACAAAAAACTTGATTATGTAATATAAAAATATATAAAACAAAACTTATTGTTATCATTATACCAATATCTAAGAAAAATTCATTTAAAATTATAATGATACTTATTACACATTTTAATTTCTACTTGTAGCAAATGGATATGAAAATTAGATTTGCTAATGGAGATTTAGAGAAAAATATTTACTGAAATAAACAAAAATGATTTTCATTTAGAGATAGTGAATATCTGACGTTAAAGCTTAAGAAGTCTAAATATGAATTGAATAAACTTTTTGTAAATGTTAGTTAAAATTTTATGATAAGAACTCTTAATTTAATTTTAGACGATGTCAAACATCAATATATATACCAAAAATTTGGCGGGATAAATTTATCTTCTACTTATACACATAAATATTTTACTTGCAATTATAATAAAAATTTATTACAAGAAATGAAATAATTTCTCTCTAAAAACTTTGATATAAACTTTATGAGTAATGTCTCTTATGGTGTTGTTATTAAGTACAAAAAGATGGATTTCAAAGCATTATGCTTATCTCTAGAGACGTAATCAACAAAATTTCAAGTATTCATCAAATGCAGCTCCTATTATAAAACATGATAAACTCAATTTAAGTAATCAAAATTGTCTTTGAAAGAAAAAAAAATGCATATACATCAACTGTAAATAGTTTAATATATCCTCATGTTTGTACAAATACCTAATATAATATTTTAAGTTAAAATATTAGGAAGACATGAAAATAAGTCAGACATATACTACTAACATACTGCAAAGAATATGAGGAGGTATATTCAAAATACCAAAATTTACATGATTCTATAATGCCAGTTTGACAATTTAGAGTGACTTGACTGCTCTGGTTCTTATTTTTTTAGCTGTGTTAATGCTTAAAAATCAACATCTAGATACAATTTTATGTTTGTTGGTAAAATTGTGCCTTGGAGAAATGTTAAGCAGAATTTGACAGCTACTTTAACAATAGAGGCCAAGTTTGTGCCCTATCTTGAGACTACATCGCATGGTATATGCCTTAAAATTTTATCATTGAGCTTTTAAACTAGTTGATTATATATCTAGATCATTGAAGTTACTGTGAAAATTCAGTTACGATCTTTTTTAACTAAAAATAATAAAAATGATAATCAAAGCAAACATATAGGGCTATAAACAAACCAATGCACTTGATGAATAACTCGAACTAGGCTCGAATAAGCCTCAATTATGTTCGCTCAAATTAAAAGCTCGGAACTTAAATGAACTAAACATGAACATATTTGAACTTATTCAACAAACTTGATAAATACTCAATTTAAGCTCGATTATACTCATTTTATACATGATATATTATTTAAATAAAATTAAATTAATTATAGATTTAATAATAATATATTGTTATATCAATAATATTTTTATATTAATTATTAATTATATATTTAATTTATTAAATTTTAGGAGTTATATGTGAAAACATATTAGACTTATGTGGTATGTATGAAATACCCTTTAAAATTATCTTTAGGCTCCCACAAACCTCACTATCCCTCTAATCTATCAAAGATTCGTGTCTCCCAATTTTGCTCGAAACATACCAAACCCTGAATTGTTAGGGTGTGCAAGCATCGAAGGAAACGATGAGATCGCAGTGTGCATGAATATATGAAACTCTAGTCTCTCATCTCTTTTTTACACTCTGCTCATAAATTCTATCCGATTTAAAAGTGACATTGAGAAAATGCAGTGCAATCATTATAAGTTATAAATGATTAAAAATAAAGATAGTACAACAACTCAATATGAAAGACATATATAAAATTGTCCAAAAAAACTAAGAAAATGACAAGTGCATATCGCTATTGCAAAACCAAAACCTACATCTGCATGTGGGAGTCGCATGCAAACTTGGAAATACGAGTATGATCATGCTAAAATAAGAGAGATTACATCCCATATGATCATGAATCATGAGTTACCTTTCATTTTTACAAAGTTTACTATCGATAAATTAGTAGGTGTGATCAGATTTGTAAAATTATTTATTGAATTTTTATATAAAAATCTAGATACTTGTTTTAAGTTTTAGCTTGTTTAAATACTCGTTCATTTGTCATAAATAAATCAAATACAAATCAAGTTCAAACATTGAAAAATTTAAACAACTCAAGCTTGAACAATATATGAAAGCTCTACACAAGCTCAAGCCGAGCATAAACAACTTATAATTATAACAAACTAAGTCTGATATATGATATACTCGGCTCAGCTCTACAAACATATTAAAATTACATATTTAATATTTATTACAATAAAACATGCTAAGGAAAATAAAATGATTATTGAGCAGAAAATCGCTGACTTTATAATAGCTAATCTCATGATTAAAATCATCCTATCACAAAAATTTTAAAATCATGTAGACCATATAAGTCTTTATTTTGATTGATTCAATTAGAGATGAATATTTTTATTGAAATTTTATATACTTGTGATGTTTTTTACATTGGTTATTTATTAATACGTGTTTATTGAAATGATACACATCATTAAGTTAAATTTAAAATTAACAATGGACATTCTTCATTAAAAAATATAAATTTGTGAATAAAAAGATCATCACTGTAATACATGAAATATAATACTCGTTTCAAGATGAACTCACTATAATTCATGAATTTGTTTCTAAGGAATAATGATATATTTGAACATGCAATAAAATATTAGTTTACCCAACAATAATAATATTATTATTTTTATTAATTAAGCGGTATTAAATGGTCCAAATAATCCTCATATTGCGAATAATGTGAAAAGTAAATTTTGTAACTGCCATTATGCAGTTTTAAACAGTTTTTATAACCAACTGTTGTGATCGGCAACAAAAATCATGAAAGAAATAAAGCAATCGGGGTACCTAAACCTGCAATCTTTAAGAATATACAAACAACATATAATTTGAGATTGATCTAAAAGCACTCTAAGGGAGTGTTTGGTAGCACCTTTGAATATGAATTATCACTGGATTTATGAAATCTAGTGAAACTCAAAAATGCTAGGGTTCCACGGAATTACAAATTTTTTTGATTTAAGGGCCTAAATTTGCTATTGATTCGGCTTAAATCCAGATTTACTAAATCCACAAAGAACGTAGATTTAATGAATTTATGATTTTCGGATTTACTAAATCCAACTAACACTAAATCCTACTTATAGCTAAACACCTCTTAAATGAATGATAAGAGAGATCAATCAAATAGATTATTTATACATTAATTTATGAATGATAATTGTTCAATCGATTCCATGTTTGAAATATATTTTTAAATCAAATTGAGTTTGTTACATTTTTATGTTAATAAGAAAAAGGTGCCACGAGAAATGTAAAAGAATCAACAAAAGAGGTGATGAATGGAATAATCACAAATGCTAGGAGAGATCCTTAAATTTACATAACAAAGAAATCTCATATTTTTAATCAAAAAATTAAATTATATCTCGCGTAGATGACTTTCCATCAATTAGGGAAACTACAAGGGCATTTCTCTGTTACCAAATGTTCCATAGATTTCGACAATCAGTGCGCACACATGTATCAGACATATTTCTACCTAGTCGGTATTAATTATCTCATGCAGCATATATACAAATTTCCGTGAACCAAAAAGATTCAGAACTAAGGACAAGAAACCCAAATAAGGCAGAATAGTGATGACAAAGTCTAACCTTAATCCTCTCGTTATCTTGATCCCAACTGAAAGACCCAAGCGTCACATAATTTAAAGCAGCTGCAGTCGCTGAAACCTTTGACTGATCAGTGGATACCACTGGCTTCGCTGCCGCACCGCTTATCGCCGCTAACTGCAAAACCACAGAGAAAGAGACCGCCAAATCAGAAGAAGATTAAAAAATACACAAACCAAATAGCGCCAAAATGAACAGGTTTGGCTTCAATAACCAAAGAAAAACAGGAAGAAAAAGCTAGAAGATATCATAATACCTTGGAGTCGAGGCTTTGGATCTCCGAGGACAGAAGTGAGAGAACACGGGGACGCTTGGCAAGGCTCTCAAGGTGTCTCAACTCCTCCAGGTCTAGCCTCAGCTGCTGCTCCGCCATTACGCTTTCTCGCTTTTCGTCCACCTTCGGTTTTTAAGGGGAGAATATGAAATGGTTCCAGGTCTAGCCTCAGCTGCTGCTCCGCCATTACGTTTTCTCGCTTTTCGTCCACCTTCTTCGGTTTTTAAGGGGAGAATATGAAATGGCTGCTGGTCCCTTCTCAAATTTCAAGTGTTTATTCTATTTCTAGGGTTTTATGGGAGGGAAGCTGAGAATGTTCTAGAACTGTGAAGAGCTGAACCCCGACCAGCCGATCCGAGAGGGATAAAGAAGGTTCTAGTCTCGGGTTCGCATAAACATTAGACCTAGGCAAACATTTTGTGAAAGTTTTACACGTACGATTATAGAACAATATACTCAACATTTTGTTGGTCTAATGTTCTGAGTTGGAGGTAGTGGGGGTGAAGGGAAAAATATTACATCAGGACTCCTATTGTAGAGTTTTGTTCTGAGTCTACTGATATGCGGACACGTGGATGTGACAAAATAATTAAAAAATGCGTGCGTTTTCTTGTGATTTGTCCCGGTAACACATGATAATATTTCTTCTGTGTTATTCTGCGTTATTCAGGTGTTATTGTGGTGGCATTGATGTGTTATTGTGTTATTATAACACCAGAAATATTCTCAGAACACAATAACACATGAATACCATCATAATAACACTTGAATAATGCAGAATAACACGGGAAGAATATTCCCCTGCGCTAAAACTATTTTTTTTATTTTCTGTCACCTCCACGTGTCTGCATATCAGTGGACTCCAAGCAAATCTCTAAGTTAGGAGTCCTGATGTAATATTTTTTCGGGGTTAAGATAACAATTAGATAACGACAAATGAGTGATGACAATCAATTATCTATGGTTGGAAGACAACAATCTGGCAATAATGATAGGATGATAATGATTAGATAGTAGTGGCTGGACAACAATAGCTACAAATGTTGGTAGTTCAGGTTCAACATAAGGCAAAATTTTAGAGTATTTCATAACTTCAAGATTTCTCTATTTACATTTTATTCATTTTATGCATAATTTTACCAAAATCTCAAAGCTCCCCAACGAAAGTCATGTAATTTCTTGATCATAACTCATTCTTGCAATATTAAGTGATTTAATTACAATAAAATTGAGTGATCATAGGCCTCATCGGGATGCTCAATTAAACTAAAAGCACGTGAGATTCTAAGATTATTTATTTCTTTAATTAATATTTCAAAATTTTTATCATACTTCAAGTGCATTTTGTGAGCTTATTTAGACAAAGATTAAACCATATTTGATGTTGTTCGGTTTGTCTTATCAATACATTCAACTTGACTAGCCAAAAGTGAAGATTGGATGACCCTGAATTAGATTGCACCAAGATTTGTACTTAATTTAAACGTTTTTATAATGTCATATCAATTGCTTCTTTATCATGGAACATTGAAGTATATATCATTCAAAAATATATTTTGAGTAATGTTTATTAACATTTTTTGTTACAAACATATTTTGTTACAATTTCTTTAAATTTACTCGAAGTTGACTATAAAAACTCAATTGGGCTCCATAAGTGTAAGAGGGTTTTTTTCTTTTTTTTTTTGTTTCGAATTTCTTTAAATTTACTCGAAGTTGACTATAAAAATCCAATTGGACTCCAAGTGTAAAAGTTTTTTTTTTCTTTTTTTCTTTTTTGTTTCAACTTAGATTAGATAAATTTTAATGTTATTAGGTTCATTTTAATTTATTTTGACTATAAATTTGTTAAAATCAAATGTTGTTTGATCCTTAATTTAAATGTTGAATCAAAATTCATGCTTTATTGGAAGAAATTTTTAATGACATGTCTTTTGACTTGCTACTAAGCATTAGTATGTATCATCTGAGAATGTCTATTGAGCACTTAACATTTTTTTTAGGAACAAGAGTATAACTTCAATAAATTTATAAGGTAGGTGAATTCCCTAGACATTAATCTAAATCTCCTCTCGGAGTTGTGAATCAAAGAAAATCTCATTAATCATTGTCTTAGCTACTCCTAAATTTGGTGCACCAATCAAAGTGAAATTTAATAAAACATTTTGTTCCAAACTCATCATATTCGCTAAGTTCACTCTAGAAGCTTTATTAGACTCCAAATGTCTCAAAATTGAATAAAAAACACACAAATATTTGGGCCCATATTATAGGTTGGGCTAGCTATCATAGATGAGCATTAGGGATGTGCAATAGCTCTCTGGTACAAAAAAAAATGAAAAAAAATATTACGTCCGGTGTTCGGGCATGCTGATGACTACGTGAATCACATTATATCATGTGTCCAGTGGAGTGGTGATATCAAAGCCATCGACCACACGTCTGATTTAGCAGACGTAATATTTTCTCGTCCCAGCATTCTCATGTGGGTGCAATTCGTAGTGATACTATTGTAATTGATTGTAACGAGTAATGAATGAATTAATATGAATCACAAAGATGTTTTTCTCATAAAAATCACATATTATAGAGGAGACATCAAAACACATCTATACTAGGCTCAATGACCAAATAATAAAGTTATTTTGTCCTCTTTATTTGAATTCATTTAAATCTAGTAAGTATTTATTTTACATGTTAAAACGAATGGTTAATATTACTGAGCTGAAGGCTGCCATAAGAAATTAGAATGCAAAATTTGTGAATATCAACCATCTACAAAGCCAAATATTAGCAAAAGTGCAAGTCCAGGATAAGGAAAATAACAAGTTAGAGAGATTATTTAGAAGGCTAGTAAACTAAATTATAAACTATAAAAATAAATATTTGCTATATAATACCAACAGATTGAATGCATATGAGATGAGTTAGTAGAGTTAGGAGGATATAAAAGGAAATAACCCTTGAAGAAGAGAATAATAGACTGCAAGCTCATCTGTTAGTGGAGAAGACTGGCTTTGTCAAAAGTTGTGAGTAAAGATGGGATAATATCTCCAAAGTCCATTGAAAATTTGAAGAACTATTCGGCTTGTATTTAAGAACTTGATTCAATATCACCTTTATATCGACGAATAATAGATATAATGAAGAATGCTAAATATCTATCTAATGAAAAAGATAAGAATCAAGATATGTTTATTATTCATACATTCAATGTTTTATCATCATTAATTTTTTTTTGAGATGTCATATTGTTTGTGGTCTTAATCTTCCTTAGTTTATCTTTGATTTCTTACTGAGGGAACATAAATCATAAAAATTTCTTAAGTGTAACCTGTTGTGGTATATATGAAATTTAAAACGATCGACGATGAAGTAAAAAATAGAACGAGAAAAATCACACCAGAAAAGAACACACAGATTTACATAGTTCGACAAATTGCCTACATCCACGGAGTTGTAGAGGATTTTACTAATTGAGGAATTTACACCAGTTGATCGTCTCCAATTACAAGAGCGAACTCTTCCTTTCACTTCTTCACTCTTCTCTCTCTACACCGAGATACACCGAAGAAGAAGAAATACATACAAGATAAAATCTGTTTCTCTTCTTGCGCAAGCCACCAAGAAGAAATCAAGAACACTTTCTTCTTCCTTCCAAGCACGCAAAATCAACTAAGAAAGAGTACCTTGCAAAAACACATTTTTCTGTTTCTGCTTCTCGTAAGAATCAACAAGAAAGGAAGTCTCCTTTACTGCTTCCGCGAAATGAAGAAGGCGAGAGTTTCTATTCTCGCGTGAAGGAGATGGAAGAGAGAGATCGCGAACCAACGGGAGCAGGAGATCACAAAAATGGGAGCAGTTCGTGAATCGCAGGCAGAAGCGCAGGACGAGAAGGCATGAGCGAGAAAACCAAAGCAGCTACGACATTTCCTTTTTTTATTTGTTTTTACTTACCGGACTCCACCTCATCAAATCTCTCACTTGGAGACCGATACACATGCAACATTATTTTCTTCCTCAAACTAATATCCTCCACTAGTGGCATCACCTTTTTCTTGAAACATGTTATCCTCCACCTCTGCAACTCAAGACCCCTGTCTTCAAGCTAGAAGACTAACTTAAGTTGCACACAACTTCAATTTCTTCATAGTAACACCCTTTGTCAACATATTAACAGGGTTATGGCTTCCACAAATTTTCTCAAGCAATAATTGCCTGTCATCGAACAATAACCGAATGAAGTGACACCTGATCTGAATGTGCTTAATCCTGGACTGAAATGCTGGATTCTTGGCAAGAAATATGACGCTTTGACTATCACTGTAGAGTATGCCCTTCTGATCCTTCTTACTCAATTCTTTCAAGAAGTCATGTAGCCATATCATCTCCTTTGCAGCCTCTGACACTGCTATGTACTCGACTTCTATAGTAGACAACAAAATTGTCTTATGCATATTAGAACCTCATGATACTGTAGTGCCACCAATAGTATAAATATAACATGTAGTACCTCTTCTAGTATCAATGTCTCCAGCTAGATCAGAATCAACATAGCCCCATACCTCTGAACTCTTTCATGAGAAACACAAGCAAGTTTTTGCAGAGCCCCTAAGATACCTCAAGAACCATTTCACTGCTTCCCAATGTTCCTTTCTTGAATTACTCATGTATCTGCTACAACTCCCACTGCATGGCCAATATCAGGTCTGGTGCAAATCATAACATGCATAAGTGAACCAATACCAGAAGCATAAGGAACCTTACTCATGTAATCTCATTCCTCCTCTGACTTAAGAGACTGATTCTTGCTGAGTCTGAAGTGACTTCCCAAGGGTGTGTCAACTGGTTTGGCCTTATCCATATTGAACCTGCTAAGTACCTTTTTCACATACTCAGCCAGAGAGAGTCTCAACATGCCTCTGACTCTATCTCTAACAATTCTCATACCAAGGATTTATTTTGCCGCTCCCAAATTCTTCATTGCAAAGTGCTCTGATATCCACTCCTTCATATTATTGATCTCCTCAATACTAGCACCCGTAATAAGCATATCATCCACATACAACAGTAGGATGATATAAGAATTGTCAAAATATCTGTCATAACAACAGTGATCTGCTGGACATCTGTTGTACCCTGCACTGTGCATGAAATTAT